TTTACCGCGCTTTATGCCTCTGGACACGATACGATAGAAGAGCCTGGTTCCCCAAGCTGTGACACCGCCCAGAAGTAGCTTCTGCGTCCAGGAGAGAGATCGGAGGGAACTGGACAAGGGCACGTTGAACTTCAAGGCAGGGTATATAACCCCGTTATACCAGGCATTCATGACCATGCCCGAGGGCCATAGCCAATCTTTCGCTTCTACGCGGTGTGTGAGAAGGCCAGCTGTGTAGGCCACAAGGGATAGTGTGGCATGGAGATTCAGATTCGGGAGTAGTGTCTGGTTAAGCAGGCCAAGTATGTTTGCTGTGCTTGGAGTGACCCTGGATATAGGGTCCTTTATGTATGAGCTGAGCAAGGGCTGGCCATGAGATGGTACAGCCGCTTCACCCGCTGTATCGAGGGCGGAATTGCTGTCCATTGGGATAGAGTTTGTGCTCTGAAAGCAAGGAACGATTCGAACGAGAATCCATACCTACCGTGGTTATATTCTTTACACGTAATATCAGGGATCGCGTGAGAAAGATGTGACGTTCTTTGATGATCATTGTCACAGAAAGTACTCTCCGAGGTGGGGAAAACGGACTTAACGCCATGCCAGTTCCGGGACTTTATAGAGAGTGATGGCTTTCTCAACTCAGACCAAAACTCTGGAAGTATACTGGTATGATTTTTAGTATGGCCTTTCCAGGTAATTGACCCCTCCACTCTACGAAAGGGTTACCCGGCGCAACGATCTGCTTAGCCAACTTCAACGTCCAAAGTCTCTCAGCAGCCAGGATTACCAGCGTATCTCCAGCAAGCGCAAAGTTCTCAATCACATAAGAAGACCCAGGGACAAGCAAGGGCGTGGCATTGATAACACCGAGCACCTTTCCATATTTGTTCCTCACATAGATGCCCTCATATTCAGCCGTCCACACGTTTGCAGCATCATCCAACTTGATACCATCGGCGAGACCCTCTCGCATAGCTGAACATGCTTTTATTCACTGGTAAGGCATCATCGTTGAGCTCATACTCGTATACTGCTGCTTCACCGAAGCTGGAGTTCGCAAAGCCAGAACTCTTCCAGTATGAGTTATCCGTAACATACAGTTTAGTGCCCTCGGCATTCACTCTGACACCATTTGAGATCGCGGCGTCTGAGCGAGGGATGACGGGTCTTAGATATTGGCGTTGAGGATCGAAGCGCCACACAGCATTCTGGATGGTGGGTTTTTGAATGTTCGCTGTGGCGGGATATGAGCTATCCATAGCATAGTCTCCTAAATCCGTGAAGAACATGTAGCTGTACCCGCCTCTATGCACCCACGCCACATCATCAACGAAATTGAAGCGAAGTCAAAGTATAAATTCACTATCGTGGTCGCCACCTTTGTCGCTGGATTGATAGAAACGACACTGGCCACTTGGTTTGCATTGCCTGCCGTAGTGAAGTATACTGTACGATTGTAGTAGTATCCACCATTGGCGTTAGGAATAGGGTCGCCAGTGAAGGTTGGATGCGTGATTGTGTTGTTTGACAGATTGAGAACGTATATGGACGTCGCATCCTCGCCCACTACTCCACTACTGAACCAAACTTCGTTGCGATCGAATGCCCACACACCGCCCTCAGCTGCGAATTGATCCGCTCGTTGCTCAACTAGTGTGAGGTTGGGCTGGTCTCCAATGATGGATGAAAATTCTTGATCATAGACTATAAAGCTTGCGTTCTGAGCGCCATTCACGACGCTGTTTAGTGAGAAATTGGTGGTCGTGGTCGAGACGGTCCAGCTTTCCGATATGTTGGTGGAAAAGGATGATGTGAGAAGATAGGTATGCTGAGGTGGAATGAATGCAATGCTTGAAGCGTGGCTTACTACAAGTAAGCCAGCATATGTGAATAGATTGAAGAAATGCATCGTGCCGAATAACATCGCAATGTACTTCAAGCAAAAGAACCATAGGGCAGATGCGAATGGGTCATGTTCTGTATAGTATATAGAGTTCCGGCTTGGTCGAGGTCTGATGTCACCGTCCAGAAAGAGGAAATACAGAACTACGGGTTGTTCAAGATGACATGCTGCGATCCACATCGTTCAGCAATTGCCTGTGTAGTGCCAAGGCAAAGAAAAGGAATCACCGGCAGCAACATTGATGTTTTCAGTATTCAGAAAGATGGCAGATGGTGGATCTGAGTGACTAGCACGGAAGTGACAGAAGAGAGTGCTGAACGATGAGACGATGGGAAAGAGAGTCAAGATGAGGATCGGCTTCCCCCAGCGTTTGTTAGAAAGAGGATGTTTGAAATCGAGTCGCAAAACTGAGACGAAGGGCCATAGTAGATGAAGCAGGTCAGAAAATCTTTCTGGCGGCTGAAAGAAGTAGAAGAAGTACAATTAACGAGCCGAGAGGTATATTCGCCACCTAATACGGGTATTTTCCTATCTTTACAATGTAGTGTTTATGATGCTAAACGAAAAGAGTTTCAGCTCCATCTGCAAGTGACGCATGCATCCAAGCTCAAAGATTGGAAAAGCCTAGTATTGAGAAGCAGCAGCCTGGCAAGCCTTGAGCTGGTCGAGGTACCAGCCGCAGATGGTGAGGGAGCCCTGGTTCTCGTCCATACACTTGCGGAAGTTGGTGACATCGGCCTCGCAAGCTCTAGGTGCCTGGTAGGATTGGCTTTGGTAGGTGTCGGGGTTGGCTGCTTGTTGAGGTGATGCCTCGGCAGGGGCGGAGGAACCACCACCGAAGAAGCCGCCGATGGCGTGGCCGATGGAGGAACCGACTGCTACACCACTGTGTGAAGGGTTAGCACTGCTAGATGTGGTATTGTGGTTGTAGGGCGACATACGCAGCAGTGGAAGCCATCTGACCGAAGAGACCAGGACCGGCGCTCTGCTGGGGTGCGGCTTGAGGTGGAGGAGCATGCTGTTGCTGGGTTGCTGGCGGGTGGGTGACAGTAGAGGCCTGTCTAGATTGTGTAGGGGCAGGGGCAGCTGTGTTGCGATTAGTCCGAGGTTGCCACTTTTGTTGTCGATACAGGCTTGAAAGGCATACCTGGGCGAGCAGGAGCGACAGTTGGGCGCCTTGCAGGGGCAGCAGATCCACGGTTTTGGCGAGCCATTTTGTGTGTTGTGTTTGGGAGACTTTAGTTGGTGAGAGGATGAAGGATGCGAATCGAGGTGAGTCTTGAATGGTATAGAAGAACCTCGGGCAAAGACACTTCCAGAAGCTCTATAGTTCGAAGCCGAATTCGTACAAACGGATGGTTATGATTGGTCAGTGAGAAATACATGATTCAAATACCGCCCGGCAGAAACGGAATATGATTCAATTATGTCCGTTGCTGCTCATCTTCAATCTGAACTTTTTGAACGCCTGATGTAACGCCAGCTTGTACCACATCACAACCACAACAAATGGACACAACAGATCTCAGACCAGCCGTCGAGAACCTCTCAGACAACATCAATGATCTGGAAAAGGCTCTTGCGCCTCTACTCAATGCAGCCCTGAGCGCAAGCACATCTAAACTCCCACTCTTGGACAAAGCCAAACTCTACGTTCTTACAACATATGCCATCGAATCCTTGTTTTTCTCATACTTGAAATTGAATGGCGTCGATGCAAAGAACCATGCCGTGTTCCAGGAACTCACCCGCGTAAAGCACTATTTCGACAAACTCAAGACTGCTGAGACCGGCCCTGCAAAACCAACTGCTAGACTGGACAAGGGCGCTGCTGGAAGGTTCATCAAGGCTGGTCTGGCCGGAAACGATGAGTACGACAGGCAAAGAAAGGAATTGCAGGATCGGGAACGGGCTGGCGCAAAACGGAAGTTTGAGGACATGGGCGAGCGAGTGGGATCGCATCTCAGGTTCGAGAACACGGCCAAGAAGCTACGAGGTGACGATGAGGAGTTGCTGGCAAAGGAGGCTGAAAGTCACGACTCCGAGGACGACGAAGAGACCTCAGACGTTGGTGCTTTGAACGAGCCATCGAGCGACGGCAAGAGAAAGACGAGGCGGACTACGACTGCAGACGCGAACACTCCGGAAGGCTCGAAGAAGGGCAAGAAGAAGAGGAGCAAGCTCGAGGCTACAGATACCACTGAGTTGCCACACAACGTCGAGACGATATTACCCAAGAGACAAAAGTCTAGCAAGCCGCCAAGAGGTGCTAATGAGGCCTTCAAGGCGCTTTTGGAGGGCCCGATACCCAAGGAGGAAGAGAAGGAGAAGAAGAAGAAGAAGAAGAAGAAGCGCAAGAGCCGTGGATGAGGTGGACATGAAACACGACATAACGGAGCATCGAGCATATTCCAAACGAGATTGTTCAGTCAGCAGCATGATATCCTTTCGCTCTGACCCTGAGCAATTCAGTGAGCGTTCAGGTGGTTGAGATAGGAATACCGACATTGCAGATTGGGGCTGAACAAGAGAGACGAAGACTTTGCCTTACACTATGCAGAGTACAGACCCACGAGAGTGGCAGCATCACATTGATGCAGACCTCTTCAAAGGCTACATTGGTTCAAGTAGCTAGATTGACAATCGCCAACCTGAAGGCTTTACCAGGGATGCATGCTCATCCACGGAATCCACACTTCCTTATAAACCGTCTGCCATACCACTCAATTGAAATTTATCAAGGAGGCCTGAATATTTGTGCAAAAACAACCTAATGCTTAAAGCCACAGAGTACGAGATCATTCTTGCAGGAACGAGCATAACAGGATAAGGAAAACGCCGAAGGTAATATGAGGCTAGGCCACCGCGGGTCAAGCGTGCAATAATCAAGAGCAGTAGGAGCATAGAGCAGTAGGAGCATACTCCATGTTAAAAGGTGCACAGGTCCAAAAGCAGAAGGAGCCCTAATATAGAGTCGTGCAGAAGTCAAAATCATTGATACACATCTCATAGAACAAATGGCAGGTACCGTGAAAAACTATATGATCAAGAACTCTGTCTATCTAAGGAGATAGAAAAAAGTGCAAAAAGAATGTAGCTAAGACTGGTTTCGATCCAGTGCCCTCCGGGTTATGAGCCCGGCCTATTATAATTGTTAGTCAATTGTTGAGATGGTTTGACTTAAGACAAACTTACGCGCTTCCGCTGCGCCACTCAGCTGTTGTTGTAGAAGCATAAATTTATCTAAAATCTATACCACAAACGATAATTGATTGCATCTTACGCAATGGTGCACTTGGAAAGAGTTGTAAGTAAAGGTGTTGTGGAAGTGGGAATCTTGGCACGCTACAGACCGATTTCGCTGCAAAACATGTATCCACTAAGCGCAAAAAAAAAAGGAGCCAATATTGACTGATGCACCTCAAAACACAGAAATAAATGCCGCTTCTGTGGATCGAACACAGTGCCTCCAGAATACTAGCTGTTGCTAGTAAGAACCAAAGTTGGACTTCAGTCTGGCGCTCTCCCAGATGAGCTAAAGCGGCTTAATGAAAGTTGTGGTTTCAACCCAGATTATGAATACCTTTCGTCATCTTCTCATCCACACCAACGAGCTAGAACTATCATTACAACTATATGCCTTAGAGCAGCGAAAAACGACATCGATATTTTTTATCGATATTCATCATTTTATTGACAGTTTTATCTACAAGCTGACTCAACGAGTCGGACTATCCAACTCCCGTTGATTTTAATTAAGGGAAAGGGTGCTGCCCAATTGTTCTAGTAATGCTATTGCTATAGTTATATTAACATTGTTTCTAAAGGGACTCATTGCTACTATAGCAGCTTAAAGAAAAGCTAGGAATATTAAACAGAAAGGTAGAGAGCTGATTTAGCCTATTCGCTCTTTTAATTTAAATAATAATATTATCTTTATTAAAAATATAATAAAACGCTTTATTAAAAAAATAATAAATACTTAAAATAGCAAATTTAATAAAATGCTTAAGTAATTTAAAATTCAGAATAAGACTTTCTAAATTCAGAATAAGACTTTCTAAAATCAGAATAAGACTTTCTAGAACTAGATAGAGATTCTTAAGATTTAGAATAAGGCTCTTTATTAGGAGAATACTATTCTAATAGTATTAATTAATATTGTTATAAAAAAGCTTAATATAGCTAAAGCAAAGCTTAATATTATAAAAATAAGATTTAAATATATATTTATAAAAATTAAAAAGCTTAAAAAAGGAATTAAAAAGCTTAAAAAGGAGTTTAAAATAATAAGCGTTAAATTAATAAACTTAAAGATTAATATTAAAGTTTTTAATATAGAGATTAGGACTATTAGCTTTAGCATTAATAAAGGAAGAATAGTCCTTTTAACCTTTAAATAATTAAGCTTATTATCCTTAGCTAACTTTAATATAGTAGTATTACTATTAACCTTATACGCTTCTACAGTATTAAGATTAGTTAACCTGTTATTATTAGCCACCTAACCTCTTATAAAAAAGGGAATGCTATTAACCCTACTGACTTCCCTAAAGAAGCTATAACAACTTTTAGAAGTTACAATTAATATTAGCTAGGTATTAGCTAAACAATGTAAGCTAGCTATAAATAGCAAAATTATAATAAAGAAAATTAAAAAAGCAATTATATTCTAGCTATTAGTATACGTAATTACTATTAAAGGAATTCAGATAAGAGCAAGATTTATAAAGATTATTACCTAAAATAGAAAAAACGTAATATAATTATGGCTAAATAATAAATAGATTTATTAAGTATTTAATATAGCTCAAACTTATAAAAAGGATTGTTTCCTAATTAAAGTTAATAATGCATCTAGAATAGCAGTTCTAGTACTAGGTACTAGAACAATCTATTTAGAGTTCTTAGCAATATTTATAGCTAAGAATAAGTTTATAAATGCTATTAAGACATTCTAGCTATTTAAAAAGGAAAAACTGGCAGAATTAATAGTAGTCTATTTAGCTATAGCTAAAGATACTTAATAAGCCTTTACTGAACAATAGGTCAAGATTAATAGGAACATAGTATAGGTTAGTAAATATAAGAAGCATTAACGCTTTTAAAAATGCTATAACTATAATAAATACAGCTACTATTAAGCTAAATATAGCTAATTAATAAAATGTAGTAAATACATAGAGAACTATAGAACTAATAATTATAAAGCTATAGCTTCTAAATATGCAGCATATAGTAGACTATATATAATAATAGATATAGAATGCTTTATATATTGTAACAAAATGGATAGAATCTGTAAAGGTAGACAACATACTAGCTAGGTTACTTATAATAAAGATACAAAATAGCAGACTGTCATTAGCTAACAAACTAGATATGAAGTCACTATAAGCAACATATAATAGGACACACTAGTTTCCTATTAGCAAATGTAAACAGATAATTCCTAGTTTAATTCAGCCTTCTTAACAACTAATCCATTAATTATTTTACAGTAATTATAGTTACTAAATTAAGCATTGCTAATATTAATATTGCAAGAAGATTAGTAATACTAACTCCCTATTAAGAATAGGCAACTATATTATTAAACCATTTACAAAAAAGAGAATCCTAGAAGTTATCTTCAATACGGAGCTGAGATTCAAAAACCACTTAGCTAAAGTTAAAATAAGAGGGTAGAGAAGCGCTAGTTAATTTAAACGCTTTTTATATATTAGGCTGCAATTAGTAAAATAGCTATATTAAGCTATAATAGCTTTAAAAACAGACTACATAGCTATATTGTAGTACTCTAAGTCTCTTAAGGGAAAGATCAATAATAGTACAGCTAAGATCCTTAATTCTATATAAGGAATAGAAGCCTAAGCAATAGTTAAATGCTTCTATATAACTTTAGTTAAAGCGTCTAGCGCTAAAGCCTTGCTCCCCCTTTTATATGCATAGCTAAAATTGAAAATTAGCAAATTCTAAATAGGACTCTATATACTGCTAGAAACTAACTTACTAAAGATACAGCTTAGAAAACTAATTAAGAAGCTTAGAACAAAGTTATTTACTTTCCCTCTTTACAATATGGAAACATAGCTAGGAAAGATAGAAATAGATATAGAAATTATCCTAACATAGGTAGCCCTATTATAAAGCACAGCAATAGTTATTTATAAACCTAACTACTATAACTCTAATAAAGTATATAAAAACTACTTTAGAATAAAGGATTAACATCTGAATATCTTTATTAACAGCTTTATTACTAATAGCTAAATAGGAGTTAGAGTAGTAGTGTACTTTGAAAAACCTATATTATTATTTATATACTCTTAATAAGTTAAATCAGGAGGTAGCATTAACAGCACAACAATAGAACTAGTTATAATCAAAAAAGCAATAACCTTAGTAGGGGTTATACTGGAAACACTACATAGCTATAGGAACCTAATCCCCTAAATATCAATATAGTCTAATAGCTAAATAGCTATTTATATAGTTAATTAATAAATATGCTAGAATAGAACAGCTATAGTATAACACATCCTATATATAGTTAAACACTATGCCATCCTTAAGGGACAATTGTTTATTTAATGGATTCTAAAAAAGGCTATAGTTATAGGATATATTGAATCAGACTGGCTAGCTAAGTAGGCTACAAATCTTTACACTATAGGACTAGTAAACAGAGAAAGGGTTCTAGATAATATAAAACAAATATAGAATACCTTTAAGGATAAGATTATAGCTAAGGAACAATAAAGACTATGAAATATAAGCAAAAGCCTTTATACAATAAATAGCGCTATTTTAAATAAATATACTATACTACTTTATAATAAGTTAAATAGGAAAGAGGCATCTATCCTAATACAGCTATATATAGAACATACGCAGTTAAACAAGTTCCTAGCAGTTATTAAAGCTATAAAGTCAAGTTAATATAAATACAAATAAGAAAAGGAGATAGTCCAACATTTTATATTACTATGCCCTAGATATAAGACTTAGAAAAGAAAACTAGTAAAAGTATTAAGCTCTAAGTTTAGCAATATCTCTTATATAATAAGGGGACGTAACCCTTATATAATAATAGGGAAACCCTATAGGGATAGACTAGTAGACTAATAAAGAGCGGATATAGATATAGTTTAGATAACTATTAAGTACGCAATAGATACTAGAAAACTAGACTTTGTAGAGAAATATAGGAGATTAGAAGGTTAAGCTAAGCAGGACAACCTGGAGAGTGAGGCAAGGGACAGCAACACAGAACTGGGAAGCAAGGCCGAAAAAAATAAAAAATAAATAAAACACATATATATATTAAAAGCGGCATTTACTATAGAACATCTAGACGCAATAGGTGCATAGACGTAATAGGTGCATAGACACCCTAACAGGTTAAGCTGCAAAATGAGACGCAGACTCTATATATAATTTTATAACTAGTAAGGTATAGATAGTAGTTGCTTATGCTTCCAGTGGCAAGCGCATAGCATATGAAACAATCAATCAATCAATCAACCTGTCGATTTTAATTGAGAATAAGGTCCCTGCCCAATTATCCTAGCAACGCTGTTGCTATAGTTATACTAGCATTGTCCCTAAAGGAACTGAGCATTGCCATAATAATATAGAAAAGAGCTAGAAATATTAGACTAAGCAGTAAAGGGTTAATTCAACCTATTTATTTACTTAATCTAAATAATAATGCTATTTTTGTAAAAGATATAATGAAACATCTCTTTAAAAAAGCAGTAAACGCCTAGAACAGCAAATTTAACAAACTAGTTAAGCAACTCTAGAACTAGAATAAATAACTCTAGATTCAGAATAGAATATTCCAAACTCAGAATGCTGTATTGCTAGCAGCATTTAACTTTATAATAGAGAAAAACGAAAAGCTTAAAAAGAAGTTTAATGCTATAAGCGCTGAATTAAAGGCGTTAAATAATAAACTAAAAGCATTAATAAAAGCATTAAATAATAAACTAAAAGCTAATATTAAAATCCTTAATACAAAAGTTAGAACTATTAGCTTTAATATTAATAAAGGAAAAACAGTCCTCTTAACCTTTAAATAGTTGAGCCTAGCATCTCTAGCTAACCCTAATACAGCAGCATTACTACTAATCTTATATGCTTCTATAGCATTAAGATTAGTCAATCTATTGTTGTTAGCTATTTAACCTTATATAAGCAAAGGAACGCTATTAACCCTACTAACTTTCTTAAAGAAGCTACAACAATTCCTAAGCGTTATAATTGATATTAGCTAAGTACTAGCTAAATAATGTAAGCTAGCTATAAATAGTAAAGCTATAATAGAAAAAATTATAGAAGCAATTACATTCTAACTATTAGTATACATAATTACTATTAAAGGAATTCAAATAAATAGGGTTATTACTTAAAATAAAAAAAACGTAGCACAACTGTAATTAAATAATAAATAAGTTTATTAAATATTTAAAATAGCCTAAACTTATAAAGAGGATTATTTCCTAATCAAAGTCAATAATGCACTTAGAATAGCAGTCCT